TTTTTTTTTTTTAAATGAGTGTGAGTTTTGTTGCACATTCGTACTCTATCCAGGATCTCCTACATAGATCCCCCTCTGAGTGGTTGACAGTGGTAGCTGGGTGTCATCTAGTTCTTCTGGTCTCATAGTTGTATAGGCTGAGGATTGCATGGTGTACCAGTCCCTTGGACTAATTGTTTCCATGTGTCTTTGGTTTTCTTCATTCTTCTTTGCTCTGGATGAGGAGGGACCTATCATTGCATCTAGATGGCTGTTTGCAAGCTTTTAAGACCCCAGTCACTACTTGCCAAAGTAGGATGTGGAACAATGTTTTTGTGTAGTATGTTATGCCAATTGAGCTTGATGTCCTCTAAGACCATGGTCCCAAGCCCACAGGTCCAAATACTTGTTCCCTGGCTGTGGTCAAGAAGTGCCTACAACCTTATTCCTTGTCAGCTCTACTGGGGATTCTTACAGAACATACAAATACACTTGCAGAAATATTGTCTGCAAACCCTATACATGGTCATGGGCATCCTCCCCCCTTCATATCCACACCTAATTGTTCAGCCTGTGTACCCATCTGTCCACTCATGGAGTAATGTTTGCCTTCACTGACAACGCAGTACTGTATGTGCAAAAGGGTTCATCTTTGTTGTCTGTATCCTCCCATACACCTCTTTATGTATTTCTCTTCCTCAAAACCACTGTGTTGATTGCTCACATTTGGTACATTGCCCTTTTCTTTACCCAAATCAATACTTGTCTCTACCTATCTACCAGTATTCCCTCCTCTCCTCTCCCACCCCTGGTAACCAACAAAGAAAATTTCCTTCCATATATAAACCTTTCCTTGACTTTTTATAATAATGGACTAATATAATATTTGTCCTTCTGTGATTGACTTATTTCACTCAGCATAATGTCCTCCAAGTTCATCCATGTGCAATGGTGTTTTGTAGATCTTACATTATTCTTTAGTGTTGCATAGTATTCCATTGTGTGTATGTACCATAGTTTGGTTATTCATTCTTCTGGTGATGGGCACGTAGACTGTGTCCATCTTTTTGTTATTGTAAATAGTGCTGCAGTGAACATGTGTGTTCATATATCTGTTCTTGTCCTGGCTCTCACTTCTTTAGGATATATATCTAGTAATGGAATTGCTGGATCAAATGGTATTTCTAATTCCAAATTTTAAGGAATTGCCATACTGCTTTCTACAGTGCTTGCATCATTTTATAGTCCCACCAGCAGTGTATGAGAGTCCCAATCTCTCCACATTCTCACCAGCATTTGTTATTTTCTGTCTTGTTGAACTTTGCTATTAGTGCTGGAATTAGATGGTATCTCATTGTTGTTTGTATTTGCATCCCTCTAATGACTAATGATAGGGGAGCTCTGGTAGCATAGTGGCTAAGACACTTTGCCTGCTAACCAGACGGCTGGCGGTTCAAACCCACCAGCCACTCCTCGGAAGGAAGGTTGGGCAATCCTACTTCCGTAGTGATACTGCCTC